GAGACAGCACCCTGTTTCCACAAACACAAAATACTTTTGTGCACCAAAATCTGTGATTTCGATAATTTTTGATAAATAATAATTTTGACAAATAATACTTTAGTGAATAACTGCGGTGAAAGTTTGAAGGAATGAATGAATTCAGCATGCTTATTGGAGCCTGTATGCACAGAACAAAAACCAATGCATTTTTTTGCCCCTCCCCTTCTAGGTTCATCATTCTCATTCTCTCTCCCCCTCCCTTTCTCCCTGCCCCTCATGTTTTGAGACAGAGTTTCTCTGTGTAGCCCTGGCTGTCCTGGAACTGGCTGTGGAGACCAGTCTGGTTTCCCACTCACAGAGATCTGCCTGCCTCTGCCTTCCACCAGGCCTTTTTTTTTGTTTTGTTTTGTTTTTTTTTTTTTTGAGACAGGGTTTCTCTGTGGCTTTGGAGGCTGTCCTGGAACTCGCTTGGTAGTCCAGGCTGGTCTCGAACTCACAGAGATCCACCTGCCTCTGCCTCCCGAGTGCTGGGATTAAAGGCGTGCGCCACCAATGTCCGGCCACCAGGCCTTTTTTAAGTGGAGCAGTCATGCGCACCTTTAATCCCAGCACTCGAGAGGCAGGTGGATCTCTGAATTCAAGGCCAGCCTGGTCTACAGAGAGAGTTCCAGGACAGCCAGGGCTGCACAGAGAAATCCTGCCTTGAAAAACACAAACAACAGCAAAACAAAAACAAACAAACAAAAAGAGAGCAGGCCCTGGACCCTGGGGTGTTAGCTCCTATCACTGGTCAGCCTCAGAATCACAGGTGGTTCTGAGAAAGTGTGTCTGAGTGGTGCCTGCTCCCCCCACAGCACTCTGTCCAGTCGAGGCCTTGGTTTCAGTGTGCTAGCTAAGGATTGTACCGACACCGTTCAGTACTCAGTGTGTAGGTCCCATGCTGGGTCAGGTGACTGGCCTTGGCTCCAGTGTTCTTCCTACCTTTTTCTTAATTGAATAGATTTATTTTTTAAACAATTTTAAAAATGATTTAGTTCATGTATATGAGTACTCTGTCTGCACGTACACCTGCATGCCAGAAGAGGACATCTGATCCCATTCATTAGAGATGGTTGTGAGCCACTATGTGTGTGGTTGCTGAGGATTAAATCATGACTTCTGAAACAACAGCCAGTGCTCTTAACCACTGAGACGTCTCTCCAACCCCCTCTCTCCACCTTTTGCCATGGCGTGGGTCCTGGCTGTCTTGATTGACAGCCTGGTCTGTACCCACTCACTCTAGGGCACCGGGGGCACCTCTCTTGATTCTCAGTCTGCTGACTGGTTCTTTCTTGTTCCCTGTTGTGAGATTTCCTCAGTGCCAGCTTCCAGGTGTGTCATGCTTGTGGATGTCTTGACGTTTACCTTCAGCCTACTTGTCATTGACTCTCATCCCTCCTTCCCAGGTGCCTCCTTCTGTATTTCTGGGTGTCTTGTGTATATTTTCATTTGCCATACCCTCATGTTACACATGTATTTGCTGTCCCATGGCCACTGGGCATTCTAGTTCTGTCTCTTTATCCCGGGAAATAACTCAGAACTGAGCGTGCCTCTGCGTCCTCCTATCCCTTGTCAGCTCTCTGCCACTGAGTTCAACTTCAGCACCTTAATTCTGCTGTGTGTGGTCATGGATAACTCACTTTTCACTGGCTCCACACTCATTCAAATCCCGTCACCCGCCGTCTCTCACTTGAGTTACCTAAACTGCTCACGTACGGATTTATGCATTTATTCTGGTGCCAGGGATCACACCAGGACCTTGCACACCCCAATTACATCTCTGTTTTCTCCTTCCCTTCCCTCTTTTTATATACAGTGTATCTCTGTGTGACACAGGCTGGCCCCAAGCTTGCTCTGCAGCTCAGGCTGCCCTTGAATTCATGATTCTTTGTCTCAGCTGCCCATGTAGTAGGATTTCAGGCCGTGCCCATGCCTAGATCCTGAATTGCATAGTTAATAAACCTTTGAGTCGTCTCCTGACACCTCTCAAGCATTCCCCACACTTTACCTGTGACGATCTTTTAAAGATGTGAATGCTGTTTATATCTTATCACAATTCTGCCTTTGCTCAGGGTAAAGCTACCCTAGAAAACTGTTAGGTACATCACCCACAGTGCCCTGTGTCTTTAGCTCTGAGCTGCCTCTTCAGCCTTCTTCATTTTTCTAACCAGTGTTCCCTTTCTTTCAATGTATCCACTGAGTTCATCATAGGCCTTCCTTGCTGGCATCTCTGTTAGTTGTCTCCTTACAGTCCTACCATGGCGTCTTCATTATACCTACCCAACCTCCACTGCGGTTAGGATCTTCTACTAGTCGTCATAGATGTGTTTCTGCAATGCCTCCGCTATAGAACTTACCATAGTTTTAAATTATATAGCCCAGTGGTCATCCAGTAGAAATTTCCCGTTCTTGGTTCTAGTGAGGACCAGAGTCAGGAGTCATGTCCATAGGTTCACAGTTTTACTGAGTCCTGTGATTAAGGCGTAATCATGCTTCATGTATATTATTAGAGGCAGTGGGTAGCTCCAGTGTGGCCCTGTTTGTCCTGTCCTTCAGAAGTTCACTAGGGCTGTGTACAGGCCTGTCCTGTGTGTGCTGCTCCATCATCAGCCTCCTTGGGTTTGTAAAGGACAAAAAAAAAAAAAAAAAAAAAAAACACGAAGCAAGAGTACAGCACAAGGCAACTGAACTTTCCTTTTCCATGTATGTGTGTGTGTAGGCAACATGTATGCGGGAGTGCAGGCATGTGGGTACACATGAATGTGGAGGCTCAGCCTTAATGTCAGAATGTCACTCTCCCACCGTTTTTGATGAGACAGAGTCTCTCAGTCAGATACAGATGTGCCATTTCATGGCTAATCTTGCTAGCCAGCTTTCTCTAGGGATCTCCCGTCTACATCTTCTGAGTCTGAAATTACAGGTAGGCTGCCATTCCCACCCAGCTTTCACTTCCATTCTGGGGATTCAAACTCTGGTCCTCAGCCTTGTGCAGCAAGTGGTTTTTGTTTTTGTTTCATCATGTAGCCTTGACTGGCCTGGAACTTGCTAGTAGACCAGGCTGTCTTCAAACTCATTGAGGTCAACCTTCCTCTGCTTTTGGAGTACTGGGATTAAAGGTGTGCACCACTGTCCCTGGCCCCAGTTAAAAACAACAAAAAATGTGTATGGGTATTTTGCCAGCTTGCATGTGTGGACTGGCACCCTTGGAAGCCAAAAGAGTTTGTTGGATCCCCTAGAACTGGAGTTACAGATGGTTGTAAGTCACCATGTGGATGCTTGGAATTGAACCTGTGTCCTCTGGAAGAGTAGCCAGTGCTCTTAACTGTTGAATCATCTCTTCAGGCAGGAAGTGACTTATTTATTTATTTATTTATTTTTGAGACAGGGTTTCTCTGTGGCTTTGGAGGCTGTCCTGGAACTAGCTCTTGTGGACCAGGCTGGTTCTCCAACTCACAGAGATCCACGTGCCTCTGCCTCCCAAATTCTGGGATTAAAGGCGTGTGCTAGGAAGTGTTTTAATCCACTCAGCCATCACCCAGTCTACAACTGAAATCTCTTCCAGAGGACCTGGGTTCAATTCCCAGCACCCATATGGTATCTCAAAATTGTGTAACTCTCATTCCAGGGGATCTGATGCTATCACACAGATATACACACAGGCAAAACACCAATTCACATAAAATGAAAATAAATAAATCATAATTTTTATTATTTTATGTATATGAGTCTTTTGCCTGCATGTATGTCTGTGCACCATAAATATGCCTAGTACCACAGAGGCCAAAATGAGCATCAGATCCCCTGGAATGGGAGTTACAGATGGTTGTGAGCCTCCATGTGGCCTGAGCCCTGGGTCCTTTGATAGAGGAATCAGTGCTCTTAACACCCTGAGTCATTTCTCTAGCCCCAGTCCCCTGGGTCTCTTTCTGTGTGTGTATGCGTGTATGTGCATGTATGAGTGTGTGTGTATGTGTGTGTGTATGAATGTGTGTATATGTATGAGTGTGTGTATGAGTGTGTGTATGAATGTGTGTATATGGATGAGTGTGTGTGTGAGTGTGTGTGGCTAGGAATTGCACTGATGGCCTAGCACATGCTAGGTAAGTGCTTTCCCCTTGTACTACAGTGCCAGTCACACTTCAGGTTTACTCTGTATCCTTGACCTCAAAGCTAGTAAAAGTTCATCTCTTTTACGTTTGTTTTTGGTTGGGATACCTATTGTTGAATTTCATGTTTAGCTGTAGTAATCACTTCTTGTCTATAAATGTGATTATATCTGTTTTTTAATATTTTTATTATTTATTACTTGTCCATTTTGTTTTATTTATTCTTGGTTTTGGAGGATAGAGTCTCATTGTGTAGTCCAGGCTGGACTTGAACATGTGATTGTCTCGCTTTACCTCCCAAGTGATGGTATTACAGGTATGTGTCACCATACCTGGCTGCTTTATGCTGTTTAAAACAGTGCAATTATACAGGTCAGGGGACAACTTCTAGAGTTGGTTCTCTCCTATGTGTAAATGCTAGGGATCGAACTCAGTACATTAGACTTGACAGCAAGCACCTTTACCTACTGATCCATATTGTCATCCCTTTTTGACTATTTTTAAAGTGATTAACTGCAGGGCGGTGGTAGCCCATGCCTTTAATCCCAGCATTTGGGAGTCAGAGGCAGGTCGATCTTTGAGTTTGAGGTCAGCCTGGTCTACGGAGCTAGTTCCAGGACAGCCAAGGCTACACAGAGAAACCCTGTCTTGAAAAACAGTAAACAAACAAATAAGAGATTAGTTAATTAATTTTGTTAATTGTATTGTGTTTATGCTTAATTATTAAAAATAACTTAGGTCTTTTTGTTATAAATAATTTGTTTCTTTTATATTGTAAAATATACATACATGATAAAAAACATGTTATACAATGTATATAATATAACACATGCATATAACAAAATCCTTACGCCTGTTTTCTTTACTTCACAGTGGTAACAATCCGTATTCCTCATTTGGAGCAACTCTGGAGAGAGATGATGAGAAGAACTTATGGAGCATGCCTCATGACGTGTCCCATACCGAGGCAGACGACGACAGGATCTTGTACAATCTGATAGTCATTCGTAATCAGCAGACCAAAGACTCAGAGGTAAGCACTTTTTGGTATCTCACTATGTACAGCTGACACTAGGTAGTGAGAAATTGCTGTTCGGGGTGGGGGTGGAGCTTGGCTCTGTCATCGCAGTGCCCGTTGTGCAAATGTGAGGACCCGAGTCTGATACCCTAGAGCTCATAAAAAAGCTGGGCATGGCAGCACATGCCTGTCACCTCAGTGCTGGGGAGGCTGAGACACAGGAGGACCCCTGGGTCAGCCGGTCTAGCTGACTCAGTGGGCTTCCGGTTCATTGAGAGGTCCAGTCTCCAAAGGTAAGGTGGAAGGCTGGAGAGAGGGCTCAGGGGTAAAGTGCTTGCTGTGCAAGCCTCTAGACCTGCGTTGTGATCCCCGGAACCCATATAAAAATCAGCTGCATTATCACATGAGTCTAAATCCTAAGATGCCCCTACTGGGAGATGGCAGGCGGAGGCAGGAGAATTGCCAGAAGCCCACACGCCAACTAGCCTGGAACACACAGCAATGAACAACCAGAAAGACTTTGTTTCAAACAAGGTAGAAGCAAGGACGGATGCCAAAGTTTTCCTCTGACCGCCCCCGCCTCCCAACACATTGTGGCACATATGTGAATGAGCTCATACATGCCCACACATACAGAGGTAACGGCCCTGGCTCAAAAACAAAACATAGAGCAGCTGGACAGAATGAATGATGGGTGACTACACAGTCAGGTGGTCAGGCTGATCTTGAATTCTTGAACTTCTGCCTGAACCTACTTGGTAGTAGGGACTCAGCCTATAGGTAAGTTGTGTGACACGAGAGACAAATATCTTAGCAGTGTGCATTAGCACTTGTTAGTTAACGTTGATAGACTTGCTTGACACCTGGGTGGGATTCATTTTTAATTTTTACCTTAACGGCATATTAATTTTTGCCTATCTTAACGGCATAAATTACAGGTAAGGCAATGCTGTTGAAGAGCAGTGAGAAGGATGACTTGAAGTCTTAAGTCATTCATCTCTTATCTTCCCAGTTGTTTAACAAGCCACAGCTAGATAATTCAGATTGAAATGTGAAGGATGGTTTGTGTTACCACTAGATCTGATGACTTGGGACCCAAATCAAGGGTTGTATGTGTGATCATGTGCACAGTGCATGTTTGTTTGCATGTTTGAAAGTTTTCAACTGTTTGTGTCAGTTAGACAGCCATGTGATTTAGAACGCCTTTTATTGTAAGTCTTTCTTTAAAAAGTTAATTTATTTTTATTTTACATTCATTGGCGTTTTGCCTGCATGTACATCTGTGTTAGGGTGTCAGAAGCCCTGAACTGGTGTTACAGACAGGCGTGAGCTGCCATGTAGGTGCTGGGAATTGAACCCCTGTCTTCTGGAAGAGCAGTTCATGCTCTCAACTGCTGAGTGGTCTCTCCAGCCCCCTACAATAAAGTCTTGAAACATTCCTAAGGACTAAAGAGTGGTGTTGGAACACTAGAATATAAAAAGAAGGATTTGTGAGTCAGGATAGCAAAGAGGATCGTGGTTTCTCCATTCTTTCTAAAGTAGTGTAGGGTATTGTATAAAATAATTCCCAAGGCCAGGCGATGGTGGCACATGTCTTTAATGCCAGCACTTGGGAGGCAGAGGCAGGCCTGTTCTACAGAGCGAGTTCCAGGACAGCTAGGGTTGTTAATAGAGAAACCTTGCCTTGAAAAACAAAATAACAGCCGGGCATTGGTGGTGCACGCCTTTAATCCCAGCACTCGGGAGGCAGAGGCAGGCGGATCTCTGTGAGTTCGAGTTCGTGGCCAGCCTGGTCTAACGAGGGAGTTCCAGGACAGCCTCCAAAGCCACAGAGAAACCTTGTCTTGAAAAACTAAAAACAAAACAAAACAAAACAAATTCCAAATGCTGCGACTAAAGCTGTGCTACTCCTGTGCTTGCTGGCTAGCTGGGAGTAGACATCCGTAGCAGATACACACTGCGTGTTTCTTCTTGCCTTACAGTTCAGTCTGGGGTGTGCTGTGGAGTCTTAGTGACGACTGTTGTTTATTAATTTTGTGTATTTTCTTGAGACAGGGTCTCACAGTGTAGCCCAGGCTGACTGGGAATTCGCTATGTAGACCAGGCTGGCCCAGGACTCACAGAGATCCACCGGCCTTTGCACCACCCTGCCCAGCTTTTAGGGGTGACTTTAGAAATGCATGTGTTCGCCGGGCGGTGGTGGTGCACGCCTTTAATCCCAGCACTCGGGAGGCAGAGGCAGGTGGATCTCTGTGAGTTCGAGGCTGGGCTGGACTGATAGCCTCCAAAACAATACAGAGAAACCCTGTCTCGAAAAACCAAAATTAAAAAAAAAAAAAAGAAATGCACGTGTTCTGGTGCTTTGGTTTTGGTGTGATTCGGTTGCCTTGGTTAGGGTTGGGATGGAGACAGGTGGTTCCCTGGCTTTGACGGCGAGGGCTTCCTGCAGCGGCTCTTGGTATTTAACCTCCCACGAGGGGACTGGTTTGAAGCTGAGTCCTGTAGCTCTCCTGGGAGGAGCTCTTGTGTCTGTCTTCTGTGGGTATCTCTGAAATGCTGGTTGAAGAGGTGACAGGTTCTGCAGAACCCTCACCAAGTGCAGCTTCCTAAGTGAGCCAGGTATGGATGGCTAGTAGCCACACAGAGCTTTTTCTTATTTGTTTGTTTCTTATTCTTGCTCAAGAAATTATATCAAGCTTGACTCTCAGAGAATATTACCAAGAAAGATAACCAGATAAATAATATGAAAATTTGATGGTTACTACACATGAGATGATTTGAATATCTGTTCACAGGACTTCTCTTTCGTTAGGAAAATAAAAGCATAAAAGTAATAGGATTAATTAAAGATGGCTGTATCTTTCAAAAATTGAAGTGAAAGCATATAAATTATTCATTTCTCACAGATTGGACTATAGATCATATAAGTCTTCTACACCTTTTTTTCATGCTTAATGTGTTCTGCACACATTTCCATTTCTCTATGCTTACATTTTCTTTATTGCTTTTGGAAGCTTTCTGGTATTCTGTTGTATGGCTTTTTGTACTGTTTATTCAGCCAGTACATACTGCTGTTGAAGTTAATTCCTTATTTTGCTATTGGAAGCCATGCCGCATTTGGCATCTAGATAAGATGTGTAGGACCTTCCATGTCTTTTTCAAGAGTTGCATTCCGGAGTCACAGTGTATGTATTTACAGTGGAAACCGGAGGTGGGGGGTGGGTGGATCAGTGGTTAACAGCCCTGGCTGCTCTTCTGGAGGACTCAGGTTCAATTCCTAGCATCCACATGGCAGTTCACAACTGTCTGTAACTCTAGTTCCAGGGGATCGGATGCCATTTTCTGGCCTCCATAGACACCAGACACCAGCATGGTGCATGTAAATACATGCAGGCAAAACACTGATACATGTAAAATAAAAGAAAGAGTTTAAAAGGGGGCTAGGAAGAACAGTTGAGGGTTCAGAATGGAGGCTGAAATCTGAGATTGTACCAGAGACTAGGTCAGAAGGAACATCAGTCAGTGACGTGGTTCCCCTCTGCTGAACCAGAGTCCTGAATGGTGTTAGGAACTCATGCTGCCCCCACTTTTTTTTTTTTTTCAAGACAGGGTTCTCTGTATTGTTTTGGAGGCTGTCCTGGAACTCGCTCTGTAGATCAGGCTGGCCTCGAACTCATAGAGATCTGCCTGCCTCTGCCTCCTGAGTGCTGGGATTAAAGGCGTGTGTCACCAAAGTTCGGCTCTCATGCTGCCTTTATGGGCACACAGTTGCTGAGCTCCAGGCAGCTGTTTGCTCTGCAGAGAATGTGGGTCCTAAAATGTTGGAGCTTCTGCTTTTTAGAATGAAAATGAAAAGTCAACATTTTCATTATAAAATAGCCAGCTTTTAAAAGAACTAGAAAACTTGTCAACTAAATAATGTTAATAGATTACTGATAGATACTTAAGGACATATAGAATGGGGTTCACTACTCCTGCATTATCACTTTGTCCAGACTGATTGCACAATGGACTCACCATTGTTTTTTTAAGAAGATGAGGTAGAAAGCTGGCAAGCTGGTATTTTAAGTCCCAACAAATTCCAGGCTTATTACTATGCTATTTCCTTTCTCAAAGAGGATAGCATTGTTACAGATTTTACTTATTTGTTTATTTGTTTATTTATTTTGATTTCCTGAGACAGGGTTTCTCTGTATTGTTTTGGAGGCTGTCCTGAAACTTGCTCTGTAGACCAGGCTGGCCTCAAATTCACAGAGATCTGTCTGCCTCTGCCACCCGAGTGCTGGGATTAAAGGCGTGGGCCACCAACATCCGCTGGTGCAGATTTTAATAAAACAGAGGATTTAGGTTTTAAAAATAAAATTCCATCTAACAAAAGGAATGTTAGATAATTTTCAAATTTATTGTTTGGAAACTCAAAACAGTGTGTTAAGGGAATTGAACAATGTTTCTCCTCGAGTAACACCAGTACCAAAGACTTGAGAACATTCATATTCTGTTCTGGAAAACTAACCCAGATCAGTGTGCATGCTAACTATAGTCTCTGCATTGAACCTGAGCTGCTGCAGGAGAACTGCACACAGTTAAGGCTGATTCTGCTCTAAATGGAAAAGCATGAAGAAGAGAAGATGCACAATGAAGAAAAGGCAATTGAACTGGCAGTGTCGAAAAATTCTCTAGCTTTTATGCAAGCCCTCAAACGCCCATGGAAACCAGACCCTGAACAGAAAGAAGAAAGGACAAATCCAACAGCCCTGAAAGCAGTGGAAAGCGATTCCTTGCATGAGGCTGAGAAGTGCTTTATGTCTGACTAAGAAATAGCAAACAGTCTCATTCTTTTGTCATTATCATTGTCCTTACGTTCTTGCTCATTAAACTACTTATCCATATAGTACTTGGTTCTAAGGAGCTTAATAGTTGTTCATGATTTATTGTCAAAGCACCTGATTTATTCATTTGTAAAATCAATAGTGAGTGTACTGATTTTGTCCAAGATAATAAGAGTGAAAATTGTT